CAAACTCTTAGGTGCTGCTGACATTGCAGGTCCACATTCAAGTCCACCCCTCATTTAGCAGATGAGAAAACTGAGGTGTGGAGAAAGAAAGGTCTCAAGGCACATCCTTATGCTCTCAGCTCTAGGAGTGAACTTGTCTGTGTTGTCCATCAGTGAGCACTTCATGTCCGGATTAAGTTTCCCAAGAATATAAACTAGGGGGGGAAGTGGGTAAGGCAAGGAGGGCCTTAGCTTCTCTGGGCTCCCACAGCACAACCACTGGGACAAGTGTCTTGCTAGATGAAAGAAGAAAACTAGCTGGGACCTTGAACCTGGACAACCTTGGTGCACCTGATCTTGAGGTCCAAGATTTTTGGTTTTCTTCCCTGGAATGCAGAGTGAATTATGAACCTTTCTCCAGTATAGCATAGTCTTGCTGTGGGAATGAAAATTCCAGTTTAAGAAGGCAGGACCAATTTGCTTTTTCCTGATCATCTCCCATCCTGTGTTTTCTCCTGCCTTCCCACAGCATCAACCACGACCCCAGCCGCATTCCTGTGGACCTGCCAGAGGCGCGGTGCCTGTGCCTGGGCTGCGTGAACCCCTTCACCATGCAGGAAGACCGCAGCATGGTGAGTGTGCCCGTGTTCAGCCAGGTTCCTGTGCGCCGTCGCCTCTGCCCGCCGCCTCCACGCACCGGGCCCTGCCGCCAGCGCACAGTCATGGAGACCATAGCTGTGGGCTGCACCTGCATCTTCTGAGCTGCCCAGGCCCAGAGCCTGAGGACAGCCGGATACTGCCCTCCCTGCAGACCTGTGCCAGGCAAGGCCAAGTGAAGAAGTAAACATCTTCTATAAATCAAGATCTTGGATTTGCTGCTTGCGGTTCCGAAGCCAAAGCCAGGGTGGGGGTAGGAGGTTCCTGGGAGGTAGGTTTCAGATCAGTGTAAAGGAGATTTTCCATCACTCAGAAGTCTCCAACACTGAGCGAGGTTATTAAAAAAAAATACTGGATTCATTTCTATCATTTAGGATAGTCACATTGCTTCCTTTAATCTGGGTTTATAAGACTCATTCCACCTATGTTCTTGGAGCTTGGTTTGTATAAACCTACGTAGGAGTGAACAAGCAGTAACTCCAAGCAATACTCTTCCCAATTAAGTGAAAAACCATTGCAAACAAGCTCTTCAAAGTGGTGAGTTCCCTGTCTCTGGAAGGGTGCAGCTAATGCTGAGCCTCTAAGGATATCATGGAGCAGATTCCTGCTCTGGAGAAGAGCCTCTGGGCTGCCAAAGAGTGGGGCTTCATAACCCAGGCCAGAGAGCCACTGGAATTTTCACGTGGGTATGCATTTTTCAGGATGGGAATCCCTGGTTTTGAACAGATACTTAAGAGTTGAGAAGCATCAACATAGATCAGTCTTTCATCCATCCTTATCCACAAGGGGATCTGGTTAGATGATTCACTGATATCAGTGGTTCTCCAACTTTACACAGCACCAGAATCACCTGGAAGGCTTATTAAAACTCAGATTCTTAGATCCCACATGCAATGGTTTTGATTCAGTAGGTTCGAGGTGGGAGCAGGGACTTGGCTTTTTGAATGATTGATCCCCGGGTAATACCCATGCTGCTGGTCTGGGCACCTCAGTTTGAGAACCACTGGCTTATAATAAGATGCTTTGCTGATCATAAGGCAGTGTGTGTGAACTGACTTGTCCTGAAGTCCTTGCTGGCCCCTACCCCCTGGATGCTACCCCCCAATAGGCCTTTGCAATTCAATCCCCCCTTGCCCTCCTAGCCCCTGCAGCAAATCCTTAATCAGCTGTTCTGGGATCTAAAAATACCTTCCCTCCCCCAAGACAGCTGAGGGGCTCAGGCTATTTTCTAAGGGTAAGGAGAGCTGGCACTTTGCAGTCAGTTTCAGTAAGAGGGCCAACAGCCATTATAAGGATACTTTACTTGGCTGCCCTAACTTCAGCGCTTTAAAGCAGCTTTAGTTCTGAATGTTTAAAGGGTCTAATTCATGAAAAAGCAGTGGTTAAGTGTGTGCCTGTCTGAGTTGGTGAGTAACTTACCTTTTTTGGTATTGTTCTAGAGTGGATACTGGTTAAAATTACCCCAGGAAGCTTTGGCCTCGTTCCAGACACATGGAAAATAGACTTCATGTGCCAGCCGAAGCTGATGCCTTCAGTGGCCGCTTCTCCTCCCCGTGGGGCTGCACATCTCCAAGGCCCCCATAGCCTGCACTCCAGGCCTCAAAACGTCAGCTGCACACAAGGGACCCATGGCCTCTAAGGCCTTTTGTGGGGTGAGAGCGTGGGAAGGACTGAGCTGCAGTAGAGTTGCCTAGTCCTGGGAGACTCCGGGTGCCCTGGGGCCAAGGTATTGGGCTGAGAAACTTCTCATCCAGTTGGGATGGCTGGTCCTATTCCTACCAGGCCTCAGACACACAGAGATCCTCAGTAAGTGCTGAATGGTCTTATATGGATGTTGCCTTTTCCTCTTTCTGGAGTCTCAGTTTTCCCATCTGTGAATGATGTGATTGAGGGTTCTCCAGGGTCTTTTCCAGCTTGGCCAACTTCAGGGCTTTAAAGCAGCTTTTGTTCTGGATGTTTAAAGGGTCTAATTCATGAAAAGGCAATGGTTAAGTATGTGCCTGTTCCCTGGTCTGGGGACCTCACTGGCAGCTGGCCTTTACCAGTTCCCTGGTTTAAAGGCAGCAGCAGGGAGCTCAGAACCTTTGGAGGGCTGGGTCTACACTGTGCCCTAGAACCACCTTTTTGTCTGAGTCTTAATGTTTCATATTTTCCATTCTTAAATGGGAAACTCGCACTGCATGAGCACAGAGGCCTCGTCTGTCTCCTTCAGTGCTCCATCTCCAGCATCTAGCACAGTGCCCAGTGCGAAGTAAGGCAAAGGGCTTGGTGAATGAACGAATGCATGCATGCACAGAGGCCTCTAAAGAGAGCCCCAAATCTGCCCCCACTCATGTTGCTCCTTCATTGGAGCAAGGCATTCCCCTCTCCCCCTCCATTCCTCATCGACCCCCAACTCTACACTCTATGGACCCTCTTTGCCCCCCAGAGTACTGAAATTCTGCTTGGGTCACCTGCTCTAGGGGTGCTGTAGTTTTAAACATCTACTTCATGGCATCCAGGACTACTGAGGGTCAGTGTGGCCTGTTTCCTATTTTGCCCGACATATTATTTGCCCCTTATTTTTCAAATGCTCCCTCTTCTCCTAGGGGGCTCTGGGAGCCCTTGGGGGCTTCTGTCCTGGCCTGAAGAGGCTAGGGTGGGCTCTGGAGCAAAAGCTTCCTGCCGGGTCCTATGCTCTCTTTCGCTGCTTTCAGGACTCTCTGGCCTTCCTTGCAGGCAGGTAGGCGATGAGATCCAACTCTCAGGTTTGGGATTGGCTTGGGCATTTTGGCTTGACTTGGTTCTGAGCTGTTCAGGCTTGCTTACCCAGATAAAAGAAGTTTCTGAGGAAGCAGTTCTGCTGCAGTCAGGCTGGGGCCCAGCAGAGGACTGGGATTCCAGTGCCACCATCCTGGTTTGCCTCTTCTGTGCACACATCCTTAGGGATGCAAGGGAGGGGTGGTTGTTAAGGGAAACTTTTGGTATTGGCCTTGGTCCTCTGGCCTAGTACCAATGATTGTCAGTTACACTGCAACCCATGGCAGCCATCTTCATTTCAAGCACAGACCAGGAAAAGCTGCCATTACACACTGATCCACTGATCTCACTGGACTTGAGAGGAGGTGGGGGTGGGGTGGCACACAGCCCCACCTGCATGTGGTTGACATTGGTTCAGATTTTGGTTCAGGGGTTGTGGGGAAAGACCCTCTCACCCTGGAGCTGCTGGCAGCCATCTCTGACCATGAGAGAAGTAATGGTGCTGACACCGCAGTCAATGCCCGCCCTATCCTTGGACTTCTGTGATAGCCAATAAAAAAAACCCTTTTATTGCTTAAGCCAGTTTGACTTTGGTTTTCTGACTTCAGCCAAAAGCATTCTTACCTCCATGTCAGCTTCATAATTCCTGTAATAAGCAACAAATGCATGTTACTTGGACTTTAAAGGCACCATCTCTTTCACTACTACTACCATCACTTCCACATAGTCATAACAACTTCAGAGCCAGTTTGGGCCTCTACCTACTTGAAGGGTATTTAACCCCACGCTGAACTCAATTAATTTTAAGGAGAAGCTCCAGATTTAAGTTCGTCCTATGAACTCATCAGGAGAGCTTGGGCATGTTATTTCCTCACTTTGGGCTTTTATCTCCATCTCTACAAACAGGGAAGTCAGCTGGATGATCTCTGGGACTGTTCCTGTTAGGAAAGCCACGGCACTGGTGGTGTTCAGCAGTGTGCTGTCCTCCCTGCCCAAGGCCTCCTCTAGAGCCAGATTTAGAAGTCTGGGTGGGGCTTGGGCATCTGCATTGGGTTAACCTCCAAAGAACTCTACCCCAACACCTTCTTTTCCTTTTTTCTCTGTAGGGGTGAATGTTTGAAGGTGAGGTATGGCTTGCTTGTCTTGCAAGACAGATCCATCATATCACTTCTCAATCCTTGCATAATGGTCAGTTCTGAGGTGCCAAGGAAAAGCCTTCCTCTTTCTACAGCCTGGCATATATACCCTTTTCCCACTGGTTGCCAGGAAGCTCAGAACTACATTGCCAGCTCTGGGTAACCATCTTTTCCTTGGGTCCTACTAGTCATCTCCAACATGCAACATTGTTGAAAGGCTGGGTGTCTTTAGCAAGTCCTTAACTAGGTACCCCACATCTAGCAAGCCCACAGTAAATAGGAGCCACTATCACATCTCCTATTTCCTGATCTTCCCTTTTACTTTATTTGTAACCACCTGGTTAGATGTTTCATTGCAGGTGTTGAATCAGGTACATTTTAGGAGTAGACAATGAAAAATATATAGAAACTGGATTCAGAGTTTGCTGCCTTACATACCCTCCCATAATTATCCCAGTCTCCTTGTTAGAAAGTCAAGTCAGAAGCAGCTTTAGAAAATGGATTTTTATTTCTTAAAAAAAAATAAATACAATGAATAAACTGGCATGAATTTCCTTCCCTTCTCTTACCTCCTTAAAAAGCAGGCACTGTGAGAATCCTTAAGATAGAAAAGCAGAGAGCAGGCCACCTGGACCCACACTGGAGGGAGATGCTCAACACGAGGGGTCAGAAAAGGGTTTGGCAGACGCATGTGGCTGGTACAGCCTTGGCTGCTGTAGGGGTGTCCTGGTCCTCCTTCAGCAAGGGAGAGGCATTCCAAGGCTTTCCCCAGAGCCCTCACAGTTCTGTCTTTACCTTATGCATCAAGTCCTTTTGGTCAATCTTGTCTAGGTCCTGGTACCAGCGGTTATAAGCCAGCAGGGCCACATTTTTGGCAGCTACAGCCGTCACCTCCACGGAGCTGGCCACCCACTCCAGGGCATTGACGTGGAAGAGTAGGTCATGGAGTGCGAACGGCGGGAGGGTGGCGGGGGAGCCGTATAGTGGGTGGGACTGCCACTCAACTGTCTGCACTGAGTAATAGGAGCGGAAGAGGGTCTTTAGCTGAGACCGGAAGAGGGGCTTGGGGGACTGGACTCGCCAAACGGCTGCCTCCTGAGGTTGCTTCTGCCGGAAGTTGGCTGAGATGTTGACAGGACAGATGTTGTCCAGAGCACAGAAGAAGCTAGGGAAATCTGTGGTGAGGATACTGGCAAAGGGGAAAAGCTTAGGGTCAGGAAAACCAAAGTAGGAGGAATTGAGGTAGCCATGGACCAAGGACACGACCGCAGGCTGGTAGGCGCCCTGGACGACAACAAGGGGTGGGTCAAAGCCCTCGAAGGTTATGGTGCTGTGGCCATCCAGGTGCAGAGGGCTGGCGATGACCACGATGTCGTAAAAGTCGGAGCCACTGCCTGCCTCACTCTCATAATGTACCTGATACAAGGGTTTTCCTTCTGGAAAGAGAGAGAAGACAGCACAAATGTCAATTTATTTCTTGGCTTCTACCCACTGCACTCCCATTTGGGGCCCTGCCTTGAGGGTATGTGACTCTGGTCTTTCTACGCTGATGTGGTTATAGGGCAAGCAGTCAGGAGACCAGAGTCTTCCTCTGGCTCTGCTGCTGACCAGCCCAGAGAACTTGGGCAAGGCTGTGGCTTAGCGGCCCTTGTGGTCCAATGCACAAGGCTAGATTAATGCCAGTCTCACCTCTCTGGCTGACATTTAAATTGGGACAACAGTGCCCTCTGGTGTCTCTCGGCAGTGCTGGGGCTTCCCACTGGTGTTTCGGAATCATTCCCTAGTAGGTCACAGACTGTGGTTTAGTGACAGAAAAGGTGGAAGTGTTTATAGTCAAGGAATGGAATAATGCCCCTGATGTGTCCACTCACCTGTCTGGAACAGGCCCACAGAGGTCACTGTGGCGTGGATCACATTGGCCTTGGTGAGCTTCAGTAGACCAGAACAAACCAGCTTGTTGCCTCCTTCCACTGACCACAGGCTGCCTTGGGCCCCGGCTAGTGACATGGCTCCTGGGCAACAGGGGAGAGTGGCCAGTGGGTTCTCAGCAGGCAGTGGGGCTGTAGAGCCCAGCACCATCTTACCTAGGCTTTTTTTTAGGCCAAGATGCCTCCCACCCATGAGCACAAAGAGACAACACACACACAAACCGACAAATAATTCACAAGGCTATTGACTGAACACATTATGCTCAGTCTAAGAGCCATCTACAAAAGATCACAGGCTGTGTGATTCTACACAGACTGCCTAGAATGGGCAAATCCTTAGAAACAGAGCATATTTGTGGTTGCCTAGGCCTGCAGGGCTGGGGGTGTTGAGGGGGTAATGACTGCTGCTACGGGGTTTCTTTGGGGGCAATGAAAATGTTCTAGACTGTGGGGACAACCACACAGCTCTACAAATACACTCAAAACCACTGGCCTGGCCTGTACACTTCAAATGGGTAAATGGTATGGTATGTGAATTATATCTTGGAGGATACACACAAGATATTGGAGGAGTGAGTAGGGAAGCCTCCCGGAGGGGAACACTTGACGGGGCCTGAAGGCTGGGAAGGAGCTAGCTGTGCCAAGAGCCAGAGCAGCAGTATTCTGGCCACGTGGGAGGTGCTTGTTAAACACAAACCTTTTCATTGATTTATTCAACAAAACTAGGCTGAATGCCTCCAGTGGTCCACTCAAGTGTTTGGGATGTATCAGTAAACACAGGAGACACAGCTGCCCTTGGGAAGGCTATGTCTAGTGGGAGGAGATCAAATACGTAAATTAAACAGTCTGCTAGAAGATAATACCTGCAGGGTAGGGCAGGTTAGGACTGCTGGGCAAGAGACAGGGGTAGCTTCAACTAAAAGGTAACATGACTGTACCAAGACAAGATGGGGAACAAGTTTACCATGCCCGGCTCAGAGAACAATGTTCCAGTCAGAGAGCGGCCACCCCGAAGCCCCAGGGTGGGAGACTCTGGAGCTCTGCAGATGCAGTAAGGAGGCCAGAATGGCTGGACTGGGATGAGCATGTGCGGAGGTGTGGGGCCTGGACCAGGTAGGGCTTTGCAGGCTGCCAGAAGGACTTTGGGTTTTATTTGAAGGAAAGTAGGAGCTATTACAGCTTTACACACAGGCCTGACATGTCATTTGTTTCAAAAGTATCATCTGGCTGATGTACTGAGACAGCCTATGTGGGGTACGGCAGCAGGCAAGGAGACCTGGTCGGAGACTTGCAGTGATCCGGGTGAGGGGTGCCGGTGGCTTAGACCAGGGGGGACGCAGTCAGGTTCTGGACACATGTGGAAGGTGGAGCAGATGAGATTTCTTGCCATACCATGTACAGGATATGAGAGAAGGAAATGAATCAGGGTTTTGGCTGGGATGACTGAAAGGAGTTTTTACCAACCAAGCTTGGAGACTCTGGGGAGCAGGTTTGAGGGCAAAGGTCAGGAGCTCAAACGCTGAGTTTGAGATGTCCATTAGACCACCCAGTGGAGACATAAGGGTGGCAGCTGACACAAGTCTACAGTTCTGGAGAAAGGTCTGGGCTAGACATCATGTTTAGGAGTCAGCAGGTAGAATTTAAGGCCTTGGGACTGGCTGAGTTCACCCAGGGAGCAGGAACAGTTGAGAGGAACCCAGACAAGCAGGCTGGGAGGAGACGTCAGGAGTTCACGTGCAGTTCCCTAGCCCAGAATACCTCCCTGACTCCAACAAACTCCTACGGCACCTTTCATGGCCCAGAATGGGCACTGTGCCATGGGGATGACAGGCCCTGAGCACTCTCCCAGGCAGCTTTAGCAGGGACCACTCTTGTGGCTTGGAGGATGGTGGGCTGGCATGTGCCCACTGTCCCCAGTGATGAGCTGGGAAGATTGCATACACTGAAAATGAATATCCAGGGGCTCAGAGGCCCCAGTGGGGCAGCTCCTGAAACCAATCCAGTCAGGAGTGGTAGAAACACACTGCCCGACACCTGCGCCTTGCTTTCACCACCTGTGAAGTGGGGTGAATACCATTTCCTGCCAGCTCAGAGGACTGTTGCCAGAATCAAATGGGGTTGGGGAAACAAAATGCTTAGGTAACTGAGCTAAGCCAGATAAATGTGAGATTATTATGGCAGCTCAGCCCATTATGGGCACCCCTGTGGGCCAGGGAAGGGCAGGGGTGGCAGCCCGAGGGCCAGAGGCTCACCAGCAAAGGCGGACATCGCTGCCGACTGGCCGTAGCTGGCCCGCAGGACGGCAGAGACAACGTCATCGATGAAGCGCTGTGTGACGCCCACCTGCAACAGGGACTCAGCCACGGAGCGCTGCGTCATGTTGATGAAGGTGGACTCCCCCAGCGAATAGAGCAGCTCCTCCACACCCGAGAAGGCATAGCCATGGGCCTGGTATTTATAGATCCTGGGAGACATGTGGAGCGGGAGCCCTCGTGCAGAAGGGCCTTTGGTTGACCACTCAGGGCTGGGTCACCGAACCTGGGGAGCCCAACAGGCACCCACCCCTCCTCTCCATGTAGGGGTGAGGGCAGAGGCTAACTATGTTTCCACTGCCTGTTTGCTGGTTGTGGTGGGCCTGTCCCACCTACGGGGACAGCACAGAGGGAAGGGCAAAGACCCTGGAAGCCCCTAACCCTGGCTTCACACGATGGCTCTGAATGATTTAGCACCTCTCTGCGCCACTCCCTGCCTTGGGGCACAGACGTCTCACTCAGCTGGGACAGGCCCACCCTGCCGACATGCCCCTCTCCAGTGGCTTTAGGTCTGCACTGGCTTCAGGGACCACACTGGCCCCGACGGCGGCTGCCTCCCACTCATGCTGTCTGCTAGCCCAGGCCTGGCCTCCCCTCTGGCTCAGTCTGGAAGGGTTCCCACTTACTCTCTGAGCTCATGTCCTGTCCCTCCACAGTTCCCCAATCTCAGGAACTGGCATTTGCCTGGAACCATCTACTGACAGATTTCTGGGTGGGCTAGCCTTTGAAGTGTTGCCTCTGCCTGGGCTGCTTTGCAAACATGTTGAGTTTGGTTATCAACACAACACCCAGATGGAAGTCATCTCTCACAAACGTGAGAATTCAGCATTGTAGGGTGGATAAAATTGACAAGGGAGAAAAATATAAGAAGAAAGAGGGGCAAGGACATAACCTTTGGGGGATCTGGAGAATATGAGGATGAAGAGCCATAAGAAGTGTAGTCATGGAGGCAGGAAGAGTGGAGAAATGCCAGGAACCAGTAGGAGGCCTGGGGGCCACACCTGAGTGCCTGCATCTAGGCCAGGATCAGGGAGAGCCTTTGGTTGGGCCTCTGAGGGACAGCTGGAGTGCAAGCCTGGCAAGGAGTAGACTGAAGAGTGGACAAAGTGACAGCAGACCACCTTTCCTGGTTATCTGGGGGTGAAGGGGTTGGGCCAGGACCCAAGGAGGACAGAGTGGTCCAGAGAGGTGCAGATGGGAAAACTGGGGATAGCAGGGTTGTTAAGTGGAAGGCCCACAGGCTGCTTGTGGCCCATAGATATGTTTCATTCGGCTTAGAAAATGAACTGGTTGCACACACTGAAAAACTGAGAGATTTCACATGTGACTCTGGATTTCCAGCTTCTTTTGATGAACCAGATCTGGCCACAGGAGACTGGCATTCCCACAGGGCCATGGTGGGCTCCAGTGGAGTGCGGGCTGCCCCTGCAGAGGCAGCCTTGCCCTCCAGGGCACTCCGCTCCCTGCGCTTCTTGTCCACCCAGCTGCTTCACTCACTCATACCCCAGGGTGGCCCTAGTAGGTGCCTGAGTTTCCAACCCATGCTTTTATTTATCAGTTTAGCCAAGGGAAAGAGAAATGCTAGAGTGACAAAACCAGAGAATACTCCTGCACCACGTGAGCACATTCCTTATGCCGGGACCCCCTTGGAACCTGGGCTGAGATGTGCTGAGTACCCAGCAAGTACCTTCTCCTCTTGGAGGAGTCAGGCTGGTTCCTTCCCCCCTGTATCCCTCTTTGCCTCCCTCCTACAGCTTACCCAGTCCTACCTCATGAACTTCTCCATGACCTCTTCTACCCACATCTGCAGCCTCAGGAAGCTGATGCCGTATTGCCACCAGAGGCGGAAGAGATTCAGCAGGTACCAGTCGGTCTCCTCCAGCACGAAATGCTCCCCGCTGAAGATGGCACTCCTGCCTGCCACCTCACGCCGGTGCCTCAGCCCTGAAGAGACAAGGAGGAGCCCCTCATGTCCCCCTTCAGAGGGCCCCCCAAGAGACCTAGTAGGGCCTGAAGTGAAAATTCAGAGTGGGACTGGCTCCATTAAGGGAATAGAAAAACTGTGGTTTGTTCATTTGGGCTGTTTCTTTAGAACAATGAACAAATGTACTGATAAATGTTTGGCTGGCTGGTCAAATGGAAGGGACAATTAAAATATGTACCATTTTACATTTTGTCAACAATGATCCACTCAGCCATGAGTGATGGAAATTTCGATGTCATCCTGGCATGTCCAGGGGCTGACAGCTGCCGGGCTTGCTCTGGGATGGCAGCCCTGGGCATCGAGATTACATGGAAACATTCATAGCACCTTGCAACCTTCCACACATAACATCTAACAGAGCACTGGGACTTAAGCATCTCACCTCGGCTTCTCACAGGCTAGGAAGAGGCAAACAGGTGTTGCACCCCCCACACTAAAGACATGGAAACAGATGCATAAGGGTTCCCAGACCTACCCCAAGTCATAGGCTTTTGTTTCTTTTCCTCCCATTCCTGTCCCTGAGCCAAAGTTCCCCTACTCAGAGGGTACAAATACACTTGTTCAGCATCCTTCTGATACTGTGTACACTCATAAATGTGTATGCATCTATGAGTTATGCCTACCCAACCCCCCCATACTGTACACTGCTCTGCACCTTACTGACATAGTGTCTCAAAGACTGTTCTATACGCGGGCATGAAGGACTTCCTCATCCTGGCTGCTGAAACAGTCTGCTGTGTACTTAAACACTAATTCATTTACTCTCAGACCCCAGTGGGATCTGCCATTAAAAACAATGCTGTAATGAATACTCTTGTGTTTATGTCCCTTTGCACCTCTGCAAATCCACCTGTAGGATCACTTCTGAGAAGTGGAATTTCTGCATCAGTGTATGCCCTGTGGTTCTGCTGCATGCTGCTGGGGTTGAACCCAGCTTTCTCACTTACTACCTCATGGCCTTAGCCAAGATATACACATTTTCTGAGCCTCAGTTTCCTCAGGAGTAGATAGATTGCCTACCTTGTAGGCTGGTAGTGAGGATTAAAGGTGATGCCTAGATACCAGGTTCCTGGCAAACACACAGCATATGGAAGCCAATATGATTGATTATTAAGAGGCAGCAAATTGACAGGGAAAGAAACTGGCCTAGGAGTCAAACCTGAGTTCTAATCCCAGCTCTGCAACTAATTCACTGTGTAACCTCAGGCAAGTTCCTTCCCCTCTCTGGTCTCAGCTGCTCCATCTGTAAAATGAGGAGATTAGGCTACATTGACCTTCTGGCTTTGACCACCAAGGTAGTCTCAAAAGGGCCCAGGGGCTGTGGCCAGCCCCTGGGCTGGATGCTGGGACCCCAGGATGGCACACTCACCCAGCTGCTTGACGAAGCCCTGCATATGCAGGCTCAGGGAGTGGAAGGAGGCGGCTCCGCTCTCATAGTGCTGCTTGTTGACTGAGATGGTGGCCAGGCGGCCACCTACAGTCCCCTTCTCATACACATCGATCTGCACCCGGGGGCCGAAGTGCTGCTGGAGGAAATGGGCCACTGCAGAGCCTCCGATTCCGGCCCCAACCACAGCTGTCAGCAGTCAAGGGGAAAAACAGAGCATGGACATGAGACTGCAGGTCACACCTTTGTGGCCTCCTGGGTCAGTGGCTTTCAGGTACTTCTATTTTACAGGTTTGTATCATCTCAAGAAGGAAATCTACAGACTAGGTCTCAGCAAAGCTATTAATAAAGAGCAAAGGACAAACCTGAAACCACTTACTGTCATCCTTATTTTATAAAGAAAAAGACTTTAGCAGCAAAAGAGCAGAAAAGAATCTCAAAATTCATGATGATCATTTGAAGAGAATACATTTAGTTTTATACAAACTCATTACATTGTCCCTATTTTTATTGCACTTAATTAGTGAAAACTGGTTTACTGATGGGTACTGTTAGGTTGGATCACTGTTTGGAAACCATTTAATCCAGGGGTCGACAAAGTACAGCTTGTGCACCTATTTGAGGCAGATGCCCGTTTCTGCCCAGTCTTATTGAATGCAGCCACACCCTTAGCCTATTGTCCATGGCTTCTTTCAGGTAGGTAGAGTAGTTGCAATAGAGACTGTATGGCCTGTAAAACCTAAAGTATTTACCCTCTGGCCCTTTACTGAAGCAGTCAGCCAACCCATGGTCTAGTCCAATCTACCACCTGGCACTTAAATCATTTTGACATCTGTGTTAACGGAGCCTGGAATGTACCCTCTGACAGGTCACGCGTTACCGTGTGAGGCACTCTCTTCCATTTGAGCTCTTGTCATGAAGTTTCTGCTCACTGAGGTCTTTTTGGGTCTTATCATCTACTGACTTTACTATTCCTCCTTCCTTCCTGTTATTTGCAAACTTAGTTCATATGCCATCAGTATTCATATACAAGTCACTGATAAAGACGTTTCACAGGAGAGGGTTCTGAGATGCTATTAGGAACCCTGTCCAGACAGATACTAATCATGAAATAGCACTGAGAGGACAGCAAAGCGGCTATGAAACTGCTGAACTAGGCTGCCATGCTACCCACAATTTTCCCCAGCATCTATCTGAGACACAGTTTTCCTCTCATCTGACAGCACAGTAACTCTATCCAAAAAAAGGGGATAAATCTGGTGTAATTTGTCCTTACTGGACCCATGCTGGACCATTTTTTGCTCCTGTCAAGGAGGCAGAAAAAAGGTTCTTTTGATTTTGCTTCCACTTATTTACCTCACTCACCTTCTTGTCCACCTCCACTTCTCTTGCTCTGGAGCACACGACTTGCTCCCTCATGCCTGTGCCTGTCTGCATCGTTGTCTTTGTCAGGAAGGCTCCATCACCCTTTACCTTGCTGACTTCTATGGCCCCATATGTCATTTTTTAGCTTGGCTTGTCTGACCCACCTAAGATGAGTCAGAACATACACTCCTGCATATTCCCACAGAATACTCTCCTTGCCCCTGGCTGAGTTATTGGCACACTGCACTCAAAATGGTCTGTTTAAGGGCTTATAGCAGGTCATTATGCCCCCAGATCCTAGTGGGTAGTAAAGTTCATTATTTGTTGCATCCTGAAAGAACAAACCACTTCTTCCTACTCACTGTTGAAGAAGCCACTTCCAAAAAATCCCTTAACCTTTTTTTTTTCTTTTACTCTTTTTTTCTTCCTGTTCTTCTCCCTTGGCTCCAGGTGATCCCTTAACCTTAACATTGTGATCCCTTAACATTGTGTTTCCCTCCCCTCCATGTGCAACAGCATCCCAGATTACCCATTTTTCCAAAGAAACTGGTATCACAAGGTCTATAAGCTGCCTGAGGGCTATAGGGAGGCAGAAGACCCCACCTCACTGAGAACCAGCTCACTGAACACCCACTCTCTATTATGTGAAGCTCTGGGCACAGGATGTACCAAACAGGGCTTCTGTCCTCTAGTACACGCAGGAAGTGGACAGATAGACTCACGCACAATTAGCTATGATGAAACATGACTAAATGCAGCAGCAGGTTCCAGGGAATTCTGAGGAAGCAGTGAACTCTGCCAAGGGTGTGGAAACTGGAGACATAGGTTTTACAGGGGAAGTAATGTTTGATCAGGACCATGGATAATAATCAGCATTGCTAGTATGTGGAAACACATTCTCTGCAAAGGTAACTGCTGGAGCGGGCAGTGTGTGGAACTTTGGGAGACTTTAAAGTGTTCAGTGCCACACTGAGGTGTTCAGATTTGATCTGCAGCAGGCTGAGGGTTATGCAATCATAATAGGAAGCTCCTCGTTCCTATTGTGGGTAAAGTCTAAAACATCAAGGGTGGACAGAGGCTCCTGTCAGAAGGCTGAGGACAATCAGGAAAGCTACAGGGCAGCTTTGGCATTGCTAAGTGCCCTGCCCTGGATGATCCCTGGGGCAAAGTGGGCAGGGCCAGCTGTAATGAGGGAAGCACCAAGTTCTGCATTGCCAGAAACAGTAGGGCTGGTAGCAGGCCTTCCCATTCCCCAGTGATCAATGTGGAGTGTCTTGCTCTACTGCCCATTCCCAAGAGATGGGGGTGTGTGCTGTACCTCTAGACACTGCCTTCCTCTTTCCCATCCTTCAGAGCCTGGCTCAATAGCTACCTTCTCCACAAGATCTTCTCTGACCTCTCTAGCTCTTAGGATTCACTCTCCTCTGAGAACCCTGAACTCTCAGTCTCAAGCTGATTTCTGGCATTCTTTAGTCTGTCTTAACCATTTATGGACTGAGCTGTGATTCTGTAATCTAAAAAGCCTTAGCACTGCATTGATCCCAGTAAGTCTGTGGTGCCCTCATGGGACATCCCTGCCTACTGGGATACACAAAGGGTAGCCTAGTGGAGTAGGGACTCTGTTCCTCTACAACAGAAACCGAGGATCTATGCCTATGGGAATTTTTTATGAGGGACTTGAAAATGTTTAGGAGTCATGTACAGTTAAAATTACAATTGTTAATAGCCAGAGACGGGTAAGATTCTTCAAGGGAGGAACAACCTAAGACAGGCACAGT